ATTAACCTCCAGTCTTGGCAACACAAAAAAATTGTAATCGTTTTCTACTGTTATTTTGTGCCTACCGAAGAAGATGTTTGTGTTTGTACTTGGTTGGAGGTGAAGTGAAGCAACTACTGGGTTTTATATTTTCAAAACCTGGGGAATCAGCCTTGGTGGCTCCTAATAATTTTGGGAGCATCCTGGAACCTCATGACAGCCTAACCCATTTAGCTGCATGCTATCTATCCTTCACTTCATCTGAAGATTCTGACCATGAAGACTTCATAACTTCAAATCACTCGCACTCCCCACTTCTCTTTTTGTAACATTTTGCCTGATAGAAAGATCTGGACAACCCAAAGACTTGCTCCGAGGTCTCTGCATCTTGCATTGTCTTGTCAAGCTGTTGGCTGGGGCTGGCCATGACTCACTCAGAGCTTCTAGGCAGAAGCCAGAGTTCATTGGAAGTTCCACCAGAACAAGAGGGGATTCCAATGTTTACTTATACCGAGAACTGGTGGAAAGGAACTGCTTAAGAAGCTGGCAGGATTTACAAAGTTGTCCTGAAAGCACTCTATCTGGAAGAAAATATGTGCTTTTTGGAAGACTAAGATCCAGTCTACTTTGGCTGTCATTAAGCTTTTGCAGCCAAGTGCCTAAGTGGATGTTTAATTTCAGCAAGAACATCTCTGGTATTTATAATGAAAGACGCCATCTTCACGCTCTCACTTCAAAGTAAGTTTCGTAGGAGGGATTTACCGGAAGGTCACCTTTCCCAGACATCTGAAGGAGGAGAGCAAGACGTTCTGGTGGCACCTGAGATGGTTAAAACTGGTCCATTGATGCTGAGATATTTAGAAGATATCCTGTTATGCGACATGTCATAGCAATGGCCTTGTATTGAGACAAGATTATAAAACTAGTGATTTATCCAATGGAAATCTCATTAAGTTAAAAATAAGTCTAAACTGTTTTCTTTCTTGCTGTCTGTCTGTCTAATTCAGAGAAAGGGCCTTCGTTCTCCAAAACGTCTGTAGAAGCAACTTTTAATAGCCTCACTTCTGTTCGCTTAGGGAAGTAGTCGCTTTTTACATGGAAAGCGCTCGACGCTTACATTTTAAGGCGTCGGTGGGAGGTGGGGGGTTGCTGTTGGGGAGGGAGAGAAGGGACATCGTGATGAGATCCTTGCGAGACGTGTCTCCTTGCCTCCTCAATCCAGTTGAGGACGCAGGAAGGCGCAGCCGGCTTGGGTGGTGCCACCATTGGCGCTGATTTTGGCACCGCTTGATTGACAAAGCCTACACACACACACACACACACACACACACACGCTTTCTCCTCGCCCCCCCCTTCTATAGAGTGTTATCAGTCAGATTGTGTGGGATCAGAAGCTATTGGAAACACGTCCTTGTGTAGCCGGCTGGGAAGAAAATCGAAAGCATTCGGGAGACGCCCGGGGGGCAGGCTGCCCATGAAGGAAAAACAAGCACGCCAGAAAGACCTTCTGGCCGCCCAAGCGCCTTATATATCCTCGCTGTCCTTCCTATAATTACATATGTGTGTATGTATGTACAGTATATATAATTCAGTCAAGTGAAAGAGTAGGTAGGGGCTGAGCTGACAGAGACGAGAGAAAAGGAAGCGTTCCAGCGGCTCCCTCCCAAATCCAACCGGAAAAAAGAGTTTTCAATAGAAAACTTTCGTTCCTAGCTCCATCTGGTGCGGGGGGGGTGTCGGGGGGAGCTGAATTAACAGGTAGGTTTAAAGCGAAGCAGGATCTCGATCCAGGGGGAGACGGCGGAGAAAGACAAAAAGGATTTGCAATGCAGGGCGGAAAGTCAGCGGCCCTTCCCAAAACGCAGTCAACCCCGCAACGGCAAATAAATAAATAAATAAATAAATAAATAGCCCTAGGCCTCCATCCTTTAAATCTCAGGTTGCCATATCGATTTGAACCGCTTAGCTCTAGCGTAAAACCAATGGCAATGTTCAGCAGTTCTAGACTAGGCAAAGGAACCATCGCCTTGAGCGAGTGCAGAGCGAGACATTCCATGGAAATCGACGGGGTCCTTGCGACGTCTTTATGTAAGCCTTAGGTGAAGTCAGAACCCAGAAAAGCTACTTCCAAGTAAAGCTTGTAAGTCTGATCGGAGCCCCGTGTAACGGCTTAAATTCAAATTTGCCGGCATAACTGAGGCGGAGATCGGGTTATAATATAACGCAAAACTTTCCCCGAGAGCGTGAGCCAAGTTCCATTTAATTCGGCTGCAAAATTTCAGTTTCTTTTCCTGCCTTCCAGTTGCACGTTTAAACACCGGCGACAGTACATGGGAGGTTTGATCATTTTAGCTGGGAGAACCGCGTCTCTATGTGGACAAGAGAGTGGGAGGTATTCCTTCTTCCCGATCGAGCGTCTGGTCACACTAGCAAACAAACATAGTAACGTACGTCGAAAGAGGAGCGTACACTAGGACCAAAAGCCCACCTTTCACCCTAAGATGCGCCTCAGATAAAATGTTGAGGGTGGAGGAGATAAGAAGATCTGGAAATCCGTCTTCCTTCTTGTAAGAAAGTGAACGGCAGGCCCTGTGTGAAAGAAGACAGTAAGTAGATCGTATTACTATGTTGTTCTAAAACGCAGGGATCTCCCCTTAGATCAGTCAGGATTCGCCTTGCAGCACAGATTCGGCTCGCCAAGCAATGGCTGGGGTTCCAGGTTTCCTCGTCAATTTATTTTAACTCTAAAATATAAAGCAGCTGGTCTCAAGGAGTTAAGTGAGGCCAGAAATTGTTTTCCACGATTGCTGATAATTATACACTGTTATTTTGCGAGTAAGCGGGGTTCTGATGCTTAATATATAAAAGATGCAGGATACAATACTACTATAGTTTAAAGGGGGAGAAGGAGAGGGGAGAAGGAAACAAGGCATATTTGTTTCTGGAAATATATCTATTAAAGAGTTGAAATTCAAGTTTCTTTTGTTTTCTTTCTTTTTTCTATCAGAGCTATTACAGTGAAACCTGAACCTCTGCATGAAATAGATATTTAAGTGCCACCCCAGTCTAACTAATATTTTGATATACAGTTGTTCTAGCTGCTTTTGTCGCCGTTGCCAGAGTGAGGTAGGGCTGGGAGAGATTAAGAAAACAGCCGTGAAATCACCAGCGTGCCGTGGGGGGGGGGCGTGTAAAACCTGAGTAGAGAAAATAACTTTCCATCTCATCACTCAATTATTTTAAATTAATCATTTGCCAGATGTTCTAAAGTAAGTATTCTTTTTTTAAAAAAAAAAAAGGGTGAGTATGCTCAAGCTAAAAAGAGCGCGCCCTCCCCACCCCCAGCCTTTGGTTTCGAACGGTCCTCAGAAGGTCTTCATTGCTACCTTTTAAAATTGCCTCTCTTCTTTAGGAAACCAGACACTCCGCCCCACCAGGGACACCCAGATTAATGCAAGATTCTGAGCCCGGCCCCATTCCGACCCAAACAAATGTCCCAGGAAGGAAGGCATGGCATTCCCTTCGCAAGCAACGGACGCAGGACGGCGTGCTCGTTGTCCGCCCGCCCCCCCCCTTCTTGCAAAGGCAAGTTCTTGCCAAACGAGCGCCTTTCCCTCCCGACCCCTTCGCGTAACCTCTCGGTCCTCCCATCCACCTCCACGGCCCCGTTCGTTTCAGTGGGACTTTCTTCAAAGGAGCGAGCTCGGGGAGCGCAGCCTTCAAACGGTGGCGATCGGGAACCGGGCGCCAGGGAGTCGGGGGGGGGGCGGGGCCCGGGGGAGGGGGGGGGGGGGGGAGAGAGAGGAAACCACGCCGAGGACCTGATTGAAAAGTTGCCGCAATTACACTGGCGTGGCAAAAGCTCACCTCTCGCCGAGCCGTAAAGTATAATCAAGGCGCCGGCTTGTACTTGAAAGATGTGAACTCTCAGATGGGCACCTACTTTCTCTGAAGCGGTTTTCTTGCCTACTCAACGAGAGGCTCCCCAATTGAAGCAAAATGATCCTTAGGCACTAATAGGAAGCCGGTGACAAAGTGACCGGCCATTTACGCAGCCACTTTAGACAAAGATATTTAGTTATTCCCGGGTAGCAGGCAAGGGCGCCTTGGGAATTTCTTTCCTTATTTGCTCACTTGCTTCGCCTTCCTCCTCCTCCTCTTTTTTTTTTTAAAGCAAAGCCTTAGCCGAGAGAGACGCCAACATATTTACTAAGGGCAATTTACCAAATAGTTATTTGAGGCTCAAAAGGGGGAAAAATTAAAAATCCTACCAGGTTAACTGCCCCCTTGGCTGTCATTTTATTCTGATTCAAAGAATCGCTTTATTAAATTAGGTACCAATACTCTGGGCCAGGTTGCGGAAGGGGTGGGTTCGCCTCTCTCTCTCTCTCTCTCTCTCTCTCTCTCACACACACACACACACACACACACACACACACACACACACACACACACACACACACCCCTCTCCCCCCACACACACTTTCT